TCCCTGGGTCTCTCAGTTCTTGTTTTTTAATCTCCGATTTCTTGTTTTGCCTCTGTTTAGTTCCACACCAAAGTGTTCTAAGTTAAACATTATTTTTCTTCCCCTTAGGCCACAGCAATTTAATTTCTTGGTTAATGGATTCGCCTGCTTCATTTTTTTCTGATTTGAAAATGAAAATAAAAATTCAGAATCAACTGCAAAATGCTCATATTTTGTCTGAACAGTTGAAAACAGTCCTTTTCATCCTAGTTGTTACAGTTATTCCATCTTTCAATGCAATGGTATCATTAAAGTTCAAAATTCATTGTTTAAATTTTGAACCAGCCTGGTGTGTTGACTTCACGGCTCAATCATATCATTTTGGGCCATAATAGGATGCCTAGGCCTGTTTTTTTTTTTCGCCCGCCCGCTCCATTGTTTTTCTTGAAAAATCCGTTAACCAAGAAATTAAATTGGTGTGGTCTTAGTTATGTTGAAGTATTTCGTGCATCTATTATTATACCATTGGTAATGGCTGCTCCTAAGGCCATTAAAAGTCTCCAGGACCTCCATTTCTCTGTTGCTTTTTTATTATTTCATACAAACTAATTGTTAAACACATTTGAGGAGACAATCACATCGTTACTGATGTAACGTTCTCCACCTGTCCATTACAAACAGATGTAAATAAGATAAAACAAGCACAAACCCAGGTAAGCGTTGTTTTCAGGTGACGCACTGTGCTATTACAGAGTCAAATCGTGAGGAACCTCTGGCATTCAAGTCTTATCTTATGTCTTATACCAGAGGTCAAACTACTTGGAGGTTTTGGAGGGCTTAATGCAGAATCGCCTGAGTGCAAGCCCTTATCCTCTTGAGTTGTGCCGTCGGGAATTCAGAGCTTCCAGGATTTAATGGGAATTACTGATAGTCAGGGAGAGGGAAGAAGGGCAGCAGGCACGGTGGCACAGTGGTCATCATGCTGGTGTGTGTGTTACGCTGAAGGCCGGTTTTACTGGCTGTACAAATATAGAAGTTCGGGTGTTATGCCGAAGGGCAGTTATACCGGCTGTACTGATACAGACACTGGCGTGTTATGCCGAAGGGCAGTTATACTGGCTTTATAGATACAGATATGGAAGCTGGTGTATGACGCCGAAGGGCAGTTATTCTGGCTGTACAGATACAGAAGCTGTCAAAGTACGCCGAAGGGCAGTTGTACTAGCTATACAGATACAGAAGCTGGTGTGTTACGCCAAAGGGCAGTTATACCGGCTATACAGATACAGAAGCTGGTGTGTTACGCCGAAGGGCAGTTATACCGGCTGTACAGATACAGAAGCTGGTGTGTTATGCCGAAGGGCAGTTTTACTACATGTAGCTATACAGATACAGAAGCTGGTGTGTTACGCTGAAGGGCAGTTGTACTAGCTATACAGATACAGAAGCTGTCATGTTACGCTAAAGGGCAGTATATAATACTGGCTATACAGATACAGGTACAGAAGATGGTGTGTTATGCTGATGACCAGCTACATGTATATACAGATACAGAAGCTGTTGCGTTTTATTTTTACTTTGCCCTAATGAAATCCCAACCATACTTTAGTTTTTAGTAGTATGCATAATCCAGTGTTTTAGCAACCCAGTGCCTCTGGACAGAGTGGTTGGGAGTTCGAATCCCGGTTGTTGTTGCTCATCCTTTATGCAAACCACTGGAAAGGACCACAATACTTAAGACGGCACAATAACCCGTGTGCATTGTACTTGTTGAAAAGAGCTTAGGGGAATTTCCCCGGTACGATTATTCTGTAAATACTTAACATAGCGTCTGTCTTCTCTGCCACGACCAGTGGAATATTACGTGTTGCTCTTGAGGAAGCTAAACGGATTCAAGATCACTCTCCATCTGTATAATGATTGTATGTATTGTAACGCTTTGGAACATTGCCAAGCTAACTGCGACTTTTACTTGTGTTATACATTGTAAATCACAGTTTAATTCTGCTTCAGAATGGACCTTGCCCACACAGTTAAACTGTGGAGAGAGGTTCCAACTTGTTGCATTGTTGAACTGGAGCTGTTTCTGACAGAAGTCGTAATCTGTAGCTGCCAGGAGCAACGTTTACTCACAGACATACACTTAGGAAGAGTCTAGCATCTTCCAGATGATATATGTCTCACTGACAATCTAATTTAACCCCCCCCCCTACACCTTTGATTTGGACTGTGTAGGAAGTCGGTAAGATCCGTTTTGGTCCCTTAGTTTATGATCTGTCATATTTTGACAACTTTGACTTTCTCTCCCAAAGTCTGTGGCTAAAGATAAAGAAAGCAGTGGTGTAAACTAAGCCGAGGATCCCACAAAATCAATGCAGCACCATCTTTGGGCAATGTTTGAAGAGCTAACCTTAGACTTTAGGATAGCATGGATTACAGCATTAGAATACACTGTACATTCTCATTTTGTACATCTTCAAGTTTCTTGTTCCTATCAATCATAAAAGGTTGACAGGAAAACCCTAAGTATGATGAAACAGTGAATCTAAAGGAAGACAGTCAATATTGCAGCAGTGTCCCTGCCTACTGGGAAATACTGATGGAAGCATTAGACTGGTAGCCTGTTTGATTGTATTTTACCACTGGCAACTGTTGGTTTTAGACTAGTACATGTTTTTATTCAACACTTCGTTGTAATAAAATCATCATCAAGAGAACATGTAGTCTCCCATCCCCTTAGTCCCCCTACTTAGACAAAATGTTCCGAGCAATGAGTCCGAAGAAATATATATTATAAAATAATAAGAAAACAGATTTTATACCTCTATGAAAAATATTCTTTATACATTGTCAAGTTTTTGTGAATTTCTTACAATGTATCTTGTTTGAAGTTCTGTGTCTAACCCTTTGTGGTCTGTGGTTAGGAAATTTTCCCACCCACATGTTGTCACTTAACAAGCACACACACAAACACACACAAATGCAAACACACACACACACAAACACACACACACACACACAAACACATGCTAACACACACAAACACACAAACACACACAAACACACACAAACACACACAAACACACACTCACAAATACATGCAAACACACACACACACAAACACACACACACAAACACACACACACACACACACACACACAACACACACACACACACACAAACACACACACACAAACACACACACACACACACACATACACAAACACACACAAACACATGCAAACACTATGCAAACACACACACACACAAACACACACGCACACGTGCACGCAAACACATACACAAACACACACAGACACACAAACACGCAAACACACACATACACACACACAAACACACACTATGATACACTATGACACACTCGATGTCTATCAGACACCTTCCTAAGAGTTTCTGACTGGAGTGATGCTTCTCCCTGCTATATGTACATGTAGGTGGCACTTTTGTGGCAAGAACTCCAGTCAGGAGCTCTGAGGAAGTTGTCACAGACTTGTAACAAAAGTTTTGCCTATGGTTTTTTTCTTAAAGGATTCCACTTCCAAGATACAGTACAGTACATAGCAACAAATTCTTTTTCTTGTTGATGTAGACAGTTAAAAAGGTTATGTACACTGCCATTTCCAATGAAAATACCCGTATAGGTCACTCCTCGTGCCATAGCTCTCACACACAGGAAGCCACTATACTGATGGCATTAGTGCTGCTTCGGTAAAGGTCACCAAATATTAGTGCAGTCTGGTTGTGTCTCTGCACATGAAGCTTTCCTGTTTACGAATGTAGAAGTCATGTACACAGAGCCCGGAATTGCTTTGCCGCGTAGCCGGCTGCTCGGAAACTTGGACGCGGGAGAAGGCGCTCTTGGCGCCGCAGGCAAAACTTGCGTTGCCTGATGGACGATTGCTCGCTTATACTAGTTTAAGGTATTTTGATAAATCTTTCACAGATATGTAGCTAAGAACCTGCTGCAACTACTGATACTAAAAAATTAACATTTTTTTCCCGTTTAGTGCCCAATAGAAAGCCTCAAATCTGGTGCATTTTTTTGGTTTTTAGTGGTCCGGAGCATTTCCGGGGGAAAAATTTTGACCGTGCGACACCCGTAATAAAATGCTGATAAAATCCAGGGCCAAACTGAAGGACAAAACATTCTTTTTTTACTCAATCATATCAAACAGCGTTATAAATTTCAGCGTCTTAAAAAAACCCTACCAACTTGTTATCAACCCAAACATTCCGGTTATGGTATTGGCAGGGTTATAGATTTTGGCAGTTGGAAGTACTGTTTTGGATGGTTTCATTGTGGGTTTGTGTGTCTGTTTGTCCAAGTTGATAGGGATAGTTAAATGGAGGGTTGCAGGTAATTTTGACAGTTGGTACTGGTAGGATTGATATTTTAGGTGGGAGTCATTTTTGTCATACAATCATAATGAGTAATAATTCATTTTATGATACAATTCACTTGTGCAAACTATATCTCTATGTAACGGAATTTTCAAATCACTGATTTCTTGTTTAGTCCTTTGTAAAGCACAAGTTTCATATTAAGTTGAAGGTGAAGAGTTCAGATTCAGAAGATGGAGCAGATAGTATCTCAGGATGCTGTATTGTGAGGAGCGGTGTCTTGGAGACACTGTGTCTGCCTGCTTCTGTGCAATCTTCACACTCAATCGTTCTAATCATTAACACATCCTCGCCTACAGAAATACAAGTTCTTAGGAAGGAAGCAAGAAAAACCAAGGCCTGATGTTGATAATACATGTAGACGCTGTACTTACCTTTGCCATGGAGAAGGTTAATATGTTTTCTGTTAGGCTATGTGGGACGACTGTGGATATAGACATACACAACTGTAACACTTGAAGCCATGGATGGATGGTGATGAATTTTGATAGGCAGGTTACCATTGGGAAAACTATGGTCAAGTTCGAGGCCCAGCTGAAAAAGATCCAAGTCCAAGACCCTAAAGGTTAAGCCACAGTCTTCCTGTTGTGTTTTTCCAGAATACACCACTGAGCTGCCTGATGAGAACCTGGAGCCATGTGCCAACAAGGGGACCCCCTGCTGGGCACAGACGTGGCAGTCATCTCGGCCACTCAAAAGGACCAGCCTGGCTTATGTGAGTAAATAATAATAAAATAATAAATGATTTTTATTGTCCAAACAGTATCCGTGCAGTCGCAGCCTTTAACGGCTGAATTGATGCAGGGTATTACATAATAATCAATAAATAAACAATCAAATAATACACACGATACACATATTTGTTCCACACATTTTTTTTTGTGGAACTGTTGCAAGGGTCTGTGCGGATGCCATTCGGTGCCACAAGGTGACCACAATACGACTTTCCCCAACCGAAGTTAGGTACCCATTCACACCTGGGTGGAGTGAGGAAAGTCGTGTAAAGTGCCTTTCCCAAAGGCACAACGTCGGGGCACATGTCCAGACATTTCCCGGGTACAACTTGGGATTCAGTTACCGCCTGTCAAAGGTCACGTCAAGTCAGGGTTCACCACATGTGACGCAGCGCGACGCAGCGAACCTGGAGTCGCGGTCCCTGTGTATAAACGGGAAAGTGTTGTAGGGTTGGCGTACGTTCGCGACACACATATAAATGACGCACCTGTAAACCGGGCCATAGAAAGCAAAAAGTGATCAGAAATGAATCAGAAATGTTGTAGTTTTTTAGTCATTTCGGATCTTCAGCACAGAAAACAGTACCTTCCCACAGGAGAATATCTCCTTCCCTGGAGATAAAAAAATATGCAGTAGGCCTAAATCTCTATTTCACATTGCTGCTCCAGTATTGTAGAATATGGGCTCAGGTGGCAAATGTGGAGACAGATCTGCAAGTTTGTGTATATGAAGAAATGCCACTTTATTTTGAAATATTGATTTGTGCGTAGACCTTTTTTTTTTGCCCTGGGTACATGTAGTAGTAAATCTGGAAATATTGGATCTAGATACACAAGTAACTATACGTAACCCTACACATACATGTACACTGTCCACTTGCCTCTGGTACTGTTATTTTTTAAGGGGCAACATCGCAACACATTAGCGGACGCCCCAGGAGGTGGCAAATTGCTATTGTCTTGTCGGCGCGCAAAACAAACGTGAAATCCGACTCATTAACGCAAACGTTAACGCATTAGAAATAATTTCTGATGATTTTCTAACGATTTTCTAATGAAAATCTAACAATTTCCTAACTTTCTAATAAAAATCTAACGGGTTACCCGGGTAACTATAATGCAAACAGTACTGTATATCTAGGTGTACCCAGAGTCCAAAATTGGGTGCATACCTCCAATTTTGGGCATACAAAAGTATGTACACATGTACATACATGTGTACATGTACATGTATGTACCCAGTCTTTCCAGCCCTGATATACATGTAGGAGAACCCAGCTTCTATGCCAAGCCGGTAATATCCGACATTATCGAGCTGATTTATATTACAAAGGCTGATACGACAAAATCCTGCAGCTCTGGAGCAATCAGTGTCATGTGTGCCACTCTTTGATGTGCCTTCAGGGCACAGATCTGTTCTTCCCAGCCATAATTGGCAGGATCCTGTCAATACCAGATGTTAAACACATCCGCGGGCCATGCAAATTGGATCTACCTTTGTGCCGGGTATTATTAGGTTTTTGTCCTCCAAGCAGGAAATCACGGCTGTTTCTTAGAAAAGGGGGTAATGTGGCAACGTGTGATGATGTAAGAAGAGTTGGGATTTACGTGTGCACACAAAATGCACGACAACCATTAAGCGTTTGATGTTAGATTCTGATATGGTGGATTATTGACGCAGTCATATTCTTTCATGAATGGGCTGTTTTAAAAGAACAAATTATCAGCTGATTAGCAAAATATGGTAATGATTTGGAAAAGTACAGGTGGCATCACCCCTATTGCTGACCACTTACAATGTATTATATACATAATAAAAAAATAATCTCTGGGAATGGAAGAATGACTAGAAAACAGTTTTGTATCTGTGGGAAAAGAAACATCTTTGTCCTCTTAAGATACGTCGATAGAGATAAGACACCCAGGTAACAGGGAAATTGTTACATAAGCAACTGGATAGATTTTGTCAGTCACTAACGAAAAGTAGTCAGGGGTCAAAGTAGACTTTGGGGCCAACTTGCACTGGTGCAGATGAAAATAAAATACTTGCACCAGAAGAAAAATAGTGGCACCCCCCAAAAATAATAGGTACACAACCAAAAGTACATGTAGTAACTTTAATAGCATCCAATATTTGCTTACACTACTAACCTACTGGAGCGATGTAGATAGTAACCTTGTATTAATTACAAAAAAATGAAGAAAAACTTCATGGATTCTGTTTTTGTTGAAATTTGTTCCCTTTCCAGTTCTTTATATTGGGTATTTCTATAGGTTGTAACAGCGGATAAAGCAAACTTGCACCGGTGCATACCGGCAAAAAATTAGTTGCGCGTGCACGACACCAAATTTACTTGCACCAAGTTGCACACAGATGGGTATTTCGAACACCTGGTAGTGCATACTGCTTGAAATGTCTGACAGTTTTATCTGTCCAGTTGCTTTAGTAGCAATTTCCTTGTGTATCTTTCTTCTCTCAGTTCTTCAGACGAGGTCTGTCCTTAGTGCTGAATTTCTAGAGATTGCACATAAGAAGGCATCCAGTGAATTTACACATTTTATGATTGTAGCTATGGTACATATAGGTTATTCTCGTTGTTAATTTAGCGTCGACTGTCAGCCTCTTGTACGGTACGTCACCGACGTTTACCTTCTGCTGTACCTTACCGCTAAATGTAACGCGATTACCTCTGATATTACGGCTTTCTTAAATAACATTTGCTGTGAATGAAAGGGACTTGCGTTGCCAGGATACAAGGAAAACAAAGGATTGGCAGAAGACATATCGCACCTGCTCCCCACCATTTTACGTTGTTACCGCATACCTTGAACACATCAGGAAGAAAGTATTTGTGATATACAATAAGCAGGATTTTCTACAGCGTTCTTCATGGGATGTGATATTTACCTGTAACTTGAAGTTTCTTTTCCATGATATTTGAAATTTCAAATTATTAGCTCACACCAATTGAATCAAATATTAGGAAAGTGGACTATTGGTTCTCGAATTTGCCTGCTTCATTTTTTTCTGATTTGCATAAAAGAAAAAAATATTCGTGTTCTGAATCAAGTCCAAAATGCTGATATTTTTGCATGCCGCAGTAGTGGCCTAGTAAGACATCTGCATGGTTTCTGTTTAGAACTTTTATTCAGCCTGTCACAAAGGATTGTATATGTCAAAAGACGTTAGGTTAAGGTTAGAGATCTTTTGGAGTGTTGTACAGGTTTCAAGCTATATACATCACTTCCAAGAAGGGTATATTGGCCATAATTATGTGTACGAACTTATCACTGTATGTGGAGCTTTAACCATAACATACCCCCATCCTTGTATATGTAGTGCGTTCTGTATTTGATCGAATCATCACTTAACAGTGCTATACGTACATGTAATTTTGCAAAGTGCTGTACGTCATATCTTCCCAATATGTAGATTGTATGCACGCTGTAATTACAAGTATAAACGTATTGGTAAGCTACTGTTGTTGACAAAGCTGATATATCCCGATGTACACCGATGAGTAAGACCGATTGTCGCGTTTATTGCATTCCAAACGTACGGAGACGTACGCAGATTGCTTTTCCGGGTCGCAGAGCTGAAAAACTGACATTTCTATGAATATAAATGTGGGATGCGAGAAGGCACTGCTCTGAGCACGTCACTGGGGAGAAAAAGGAGATGCATGATCTCAATCTTGTATTGCTGTATTCCACATCTCCATACCTCAATCTACGGAAGAAATGACAGCCGTTTTACATTTAACACAAAGCAGGAGCCTCAAAATACAAGCCAATGCTGGCTGTGATGAAATTATTGAGCGTGTTTGTATATATTTTAACAGGGACAGGTTTGATTTTCTGGTGGGTGTACCTTGATGTACCAATAGATAATGCTCTATTTGATTTGTAGTTTTCACACATTTCTTGTAGCAAAATACTGTATATCCTTCTAGTTAGGAGTGGGTACCGGTTCCGCCGGACCGGTTTAAACTGGAACGACATTCGGGAACATTCGAGTCCAAAAAACCGAAACGCGAAAACCGGATCATCGGACCTAATGTTCATTTCTGTATATTATACACACATCTTAAGATAATCTGGCCTTGGCAGGTAAAGAAAATAACCCTGAATGAGCTAAAGCTGGATCGAGATCATTTTTCCTTTTATGGTATGAAAAATATGTTTGTTAAAAACCTCCTAAAGGGTCTTTGAGAAATCGCCCATCCAGGATCTATAATCTGATAGTATAAGTGCTTGATGTACATGTCTTTATTGTCCATAAGGGACTGACATTTTAGACTTGCCTAGAGTTGCTTGAGGCAAACAAAAATGGAGCATGGGCTAGTGGAATGTCTCCAGGGCCTTTTACAATTGGTCAACAATAAATTTCAGATGATCCAGACTGATGCATTTTGTACAAAAGGAAATGAAATGAATTGTAAACATTTTAAAGTACATCATTTTTTTATCATGCATGCCCTTTTGGTCTGAATCGGCCCCTGCCATCTTTAAAGAAATGTTTAACTGGAAGTCCATTGTTATGTTTACCGAAGGAAAACATATTGTTTTTACTCAATTTCCTCTTCCTCTTCTTCTTCTCCAAACACTAACCTCTGACCTGGCCAATGACATGATTTGTTGACGTCTGTCACCATGGTGACTGGTGTTGGGTTACATAATGTTGCAATTTCATGGTCTTTTCTGCTCCTGTCACCATATACTAGTAGTACATGTATGTGAATGTGTTTGAGTAAATAAAAATTAACGGGGCAGACCATGTCCGAAGGTTAACATTATTTGCTTTGTTTATGTTACCATATTTCTCCAACAACTTTTATGTGAAACATAAGGGGATAAAACATAACTTCTAGATCTTTTGCCAGTTTGAAATATTGTAACATTTCCTCCACTAAAGGCTGTACTGTGTTCATGTTTTCCCTGCATACTTCAAAATTGTTTTCACCAAGAAAAAAATGTGTGA